TTTTTGCTACTACCGGAGATGCCATTTTGCTACCACCGGAGTTTTTGCTACTACCAGAGTCTTCATGGAAGCATCAGGAGTTTTTTTGCTACCATCCTTGTTTTTGTTTTGTTTTTGCCGGTACCATCCTAAATTTTTGCTACCACCGTCTTTTGATTTTGCTGAAACCGGCATTTTTCGCTTCGGTGTCGGTGGTGAAGGCGGGTGGTGTTTTGGTTCGGCGGTGGCGGTGAGGCTGCGAGCTCCAGCGATGAGCAGGGGCAGCGGTGGTTTGAGCGAGAGCAGCGCGGGCCAGCGTGCGGTGGCAGCGCTTGCTTTTTTTTCTCCTCTTTTTTCCTATAGGGGAGGATGACGATAGGAGATGCGGGGCAGATATGACGTATACGCGTGTCCAAATCGAGTGGCTCTGGTTTGACCGGTCGAAACGTTCCGCCGGTGCGCCGGCGTAGAGTACTGCCCAATTAAAAAAGGAAAAGCATCCCTCCCTAAAAAAAGAGAACACATCTCCTACGTCTCCTGCACATTTTTTTTTGAGGCAAGCTCCGCTCCTGTACATGGCCGCACCTTTTAAGCCTTCTCACTAATCCATGTCATTATTACACCATTGAATTCAAAAATACACCCAAGATAAAAAAAATAAAACTTGGCTAACATAGATGGCCCGATCCAAAAAATGGCATCTGACACGTCGCATGACGTGGAAAAAAATCCATCTGTTCCATAAAAAAAAGATAGCGTCCTTAAAAAAATACTTAACCAAAAAAGGTAAAAAAGACAGAATCCAATTTATGACCAATGAAACTCCATGAATAAAATCTTCTGATGATCGATTAAAAAAAGAAAATACATCTCCCTCAGCTCCTGTACATGGCCATTGACTTTACCTTCCCCTCAGCTATGCTCTCCTATGTATGGCCAGGGGTGGAAATTTCTCTCACTGCAGGATGTCCCCAACTTTCCATCACCATCGAGTGCGCTCTCCAACCCATATGGCTACCAGCGAGCCACAAAGGAACCTGAAGCTAGCCAGGTACTGCGAGGGATGATGAGAGATCGACTGTGATCCCAATGGGTGATCAATCTTACTCATTGTTTGTGTCTCCGTGTCTCCCTCCATCCACCATGGGCATTAAAGTACGCCCACATTTGTGATATAATGAAGGCCAACTATCAAGTGCATCCTCTAGCAAGTTCTTCTTGGCATCATGTTCCCAAAAGACTAAAATCTAACCATGATAATAATAGATTAATGGTTGATGCAGCGTATCATGAGGTGTCCCGATGGTGGTCTAAAGTAGATCGTGTTGTTATGGTAATTGGTAAACTGGCCATCGGAGAACCTAAAGTGGAAATAAAGCACATCGACTTATCACTATGATGTTGTCCAGTTTGTCGTTGGTTCTTCAACTCCACATGCAACAAAAACCTATCCTATTTTTTTTTGAATGTGCTACTTGATTTTTAGCGCTTTGAACTCATGACAAAACAAAGTGTCCGATCAAGATATAAATTGCTATGTGGATGCCTATCCATGAGCACAGTTATCCCGAATAATTATGTTCTAGAGAAGCGGACCAGATTCAGTTGCATCCAATGTGGCTAGGTGCAACATAGTGGCACACGTGTTGAATCACCTGGAGCGTCTACTAGTATTGTGTGTGCGCATAATACGATGTTTTTAAGACATACTCCCTCCGTAAACTAATATAAGAGCGTTTAGATACCTATTTTAGTGATCTAAACGCTCTTATATTCGTTTACAGAGGGAGTACTACTTTGCCTGACTTGCATGCGATTAGTGAATCACATGGATTCACATGATTCTTTCAAGGTGCAGATTGCTAATACGTATCTGCATATATGGTATGTCCTTTATCGAAAAAATATATGGTATGTCCATGCATGTCCTTATTTTGTCCTTACAACAAAGAGAAAATTAGCTATTAAAGAATCTTTAAATGCATATAAATTACTGATGTAACAAGAAAATCTGGATGTACCATGTGCTACAAAGAGCTCATATAAGCATATGATTATCTATGTGATACATATATATATATATATATATATATATATATATATATATAGAAAATGTAGAAAATCCCATCCACATTAATAAGAAAATAAATTCTTTAAATTTGTTGGTTGAGACGAACTTAAAATCTAAATGATATATGCTACTTATAGTAATGAGAATATACAACAAACTCCATTTTATATATGTATATTATTTGCTACGATATCAGGTATTTTGATAGAAAAACATGCACGCATACGTCCATTATTGTGTATAGAAACAAACTTTTTATAATTCTACCATGCTTGTGTGGCAAAAAAAAAGATATATAAGACAGGAAGATATATGCTACAATAGGACCCTTTATCTTTATACCTTTCAGAAACTTATAGGTCACGAATACACGATACATGCAACAACATTTGCATTTGTAACCATGTTTTCTACCAACATAACACATATATTATTATCCTTATTTTTTTGTGAGGGATATTCTTATCCTTATATAACGTTCATAAGGTAGCACATCCGTTAACATATCATCTATACATCTGCGGTTGTTCGCCATCACACAAACGCCGATATTTATAAGGTTATCACACAATGGGACACAAACAATCTAATCCCGGAATAGTTCGAAGCAATGTAACATTGTTGAACTCTATGTTCAATAATATACACATACATGTGTAACAATAATGACCCATAACAACATATTCATATTTTTGGCCTACATTTCTAATTCGTAACAACTTGGTTGATCTAATATAATTACAAGTGCTAGCCCGTGCAGGTGCACGGGTTGACGACTAGTTCCTCATAATTATTGTTAGATTCAGGGGGGAAGCCCCAAATTCATTATGGGAAACTAACTATTGCGACTAAATATGTGACGCAAAAATACGAACTCTGACAATGGCACCAGAGAACCATGATAGGCTAGGCTGTCACCATTATTTACTATAGAGAAAAATATGCACAAAGAAAATGCAAACCTCCCCAAGAAATACTAGCAGGAAACAAGTAGTTCCTCGGGCGCAACCGCTGACGCAAGATGCTTATGAGCTATCACAATCCAGCACATGAGTGGATTATGAGGTTCAAGACAGTGTAACCCACTAAGATGAAGAAAACATGAACCCGTTTTGACCTGTTACTGCTATTGCCAAAACCTATACATTGAGGGAAGATGAGAGAAAAAGCTGATGTCTCGCACCGAAATCTTGTGTGAATCCCATTAACCCTGCCACCTATAAAATATTTGGACAGAGCAAAAGTGCCAATTCTATAGACAAAAGCGCTGAGAGAGAGAGAGAGAGAGCTCAATAGGTGTGTTGGTCAGTTGACTTGTCCACTTGTATGTACTCTGGGCAATTTGGAGACCTCCTAACCAACACCTTTTGCGCCAGTTAGAGGTAGCAACACTCACTCGGCATTTCCTATTCGGCGCCACAGGCGCTAGTTAATGTGCATTTTTGTTAACTGGCGCCCATGGCATTCATAAATGGGCCGGCCCATCTAGATTCCGTTGGACGATTCATTTTTTGAAAAATTTCTGAACTTTTTATAAATTTCTACAGTTTTTTTCAGATTGATGAACTTTTTTTCAGTTCAATGAACTATTTCTAAAAATACATGAACTTTTTTGAATTTCTATGAACTTTTTGCAAGTTTAATGAAATTTTTAAAAATTAATAAATTTTTGCTAAATTGGATGAACTTTTTTTTCAATTTCAATGAACTTTTTTTCAAATTGGTGAACCTTTTGCAAAAGAGGTGAACCTTTTTTAAAGATATTAACTTTTATTTTCAAAGGATGAACCTTTTTTCTTTAAATCTGTAAACCTTTTTTTGATTTCAAAATTTTATTTTAGTAACAAAAAATGAAAAAAATGGGGCAGTACGCTAGTGGACGGCCCATGCTAGCAGGGCTGCAGGCGCTGGATCGTTAACGGGCCCCTGCAGCGCTGCATAGGTGCTCCCCGCCCATGCGCATACCTGGTAGCAACACAGGGCAAATGAGGATTCGGCAGCAATTTGGGCTTGCATTCACGGCCTAATCGTCATGATTATTGGGCTCATTTGTTTGCTCATTTGTTTGCGCATCGACCGACGAGTACTACCGCTTCCGCCCCCTCGCCGACGAACGGATGCGATGAGGCCGGTAGATGGAGCGCACGTCCATGGCCGGAGGAAGCCACCGCCGCTGAAGAGCGAGAGCTCCGCAGCGGGCCGCTGAGCCCTCTCCACGTAGCCGCCGGCACCAGCGAGTCTCGGCGTCAGGTCCGGACGCTCAACCTAACCTTGCCTGTCTCTTCCGTCCCTCAATCCAAGCTAGTCAGTGGACCACGCAGCAGCTACCCTGCCATCAAACTGAACTGTATAGTATGAGCAGTGTGGGTGCCATTAGGGGTGTAGCAACTGGGTTGAGACTAAACAGGAAAGCACATTTTTGGATATGCCAAGACGCGTTTCAAATCCTGTCATTTTTTATATTGTTCATACATGTTCTGGTTGTGTGTTCGTTCACCAGGACTTTGTTCCTTGTGTCATTTTTTTCTCCTTTCATGTTCTGAACTTCTTTTGATTTGATGGGCTCCATACAATCTAAGCGATGGTTCAGTTCGGGAAGATGCTTATGAGGTTTATCATGTTTACTGAGCAAAAAATTTGTTTATGCCAACGGTGGTATTAAATATGTTAACTTTTGTATGTACCAACTATTTATATGTGTATTTTCTTCGTGTGTACCAACTACTGTTTTCATGCTATGAACTGATGGTCCTATGGGAGACATACAGAATTCGGTGATGGTTAAGTTCAACCAGAAGATCCAAAAATTCATCTATCATGGAAATGTGTAGTTTTATTCAGACAAATGCTTTATTCAGGAACATTTATTCATCATTTCCATATTGCAACTAGTACTTGCCACACATGATGATGCATGACATTTTTATTTTGCCACCGCTACATTGATCAACTAGTACGCACCACCAGGGTAAGTAGCCACCATGGGAATGTTGTAGGCGGTGGGGGCGGGGCATTGTACCGGGATGTAGATGCTACACATCGACCGCAGGGCCTGAAGCGACATCCTGATGCTCTCAAGTTGTGCTGGCTGCTGGGCCTGGTACATACCCTGCCATTGTTGTTGGGGTCGTTGTTGCCTGATAGCCTCAGCCACGTTGTGGATGGCTTGGCAACGGAATTGCTCCGGGATATGTGATAACTGCCGGCAACATTGGTGTTGCACATTCTGGCAGCTGGTAGGCTGATCCACCGGAGTCTGGGGGAATGGCACTGTCATTGGGCTGCACTGCTGCTGCAGGAATGTCGCACACGGTGTCAACTGCTCCTGCAATTGTTGTTGTTGTTGTTGGCCCAATTGTTGTTGTTGCTGGCATTGTACCGGGACGGAGATGCTGCACATCAATGATAGGTTCTCAAGCAACATCCTTATGCTCTTATGTTGTGCTTGCTGTTGGGGCTCCTGCCATTGTTGTTGGGGTTGTTGTTGCATGATAGCCTCTACCACGCTGTGGATGGCATGGCACCGGATTCGCTCCGGGATCTGTGCTAGCTGCTGGCAGCATTGGTATTGCATGATCTGGCAGCTGCTAAGCTGCTGCACCTGTATTTGGAGGAATGGCATTCTCACTGGGCTACACTGTTGTTGCAGGAATGCCACACACGGCTTCATCTGCTCCAGCAGCTGTTGTTGCCCCGGTTGTTGTTGTTGTTGGCATTGTCCAAAGCCCTGGCTACCGGTGGATTCCAACTGGGCAATGGCGGTGGTTGCTGTGAGGGCGAGGAGAGCCAGGATGAAGACCTTCATGGTGGCTAGCCTAAAGTTTGCTTTGTTGTTTGTAGTTGTCTGAAGGTTGATGAAGGAGGGTCTTCATGGTACATGCCTATTTATAGCTGCCATGGTCTATTTGCTGCATTCCATCCTACATTATTTTACGAAAGCATTTGGATGCTTTCCAAACTAATCATCTCATATTGTTGTGTTAGGTGGCGCTAAAGTCTAATCTTCAATGGCCTGTTGGGAATATGCCCTAGAGGCAATAATAAAAGTATTATTATTATATTTCTTTGTTCATGATAATAGTCTTTTATTCATGCTATAACTGTATTATCCGGAAATCGTAATACACGTGTGAATACATAGACCACAATGTGTCCCTAGTGAGCCTCTAGTTGACTAGCTCGTTGTGATCAACAGATAGTCATGGTTTCCTGGCTATGGACATTGGATGTCGTTGATAACGGGATCACATCATTAGGAGAATGATGTGATGGACAAGACCCAATCCTAAGCATAGCACAAAGGTCGGTTAGTTCGTTTGCTAGAGCTTTTCCAATGTCAAGTATCTCTTCCTTAGACCATGAGATCGTGTAACTCCCGGATACCGTAGGAGTGCTTTGGGTGTACCAAACGTCACAACGTAACTGGGTGACTATAAAGGTGCATTACAGGTATCTCCGAAAGTGTCTGTTGGGTTGACACGGATCGAGACTGGGATTTGTCACTCCGTGTTACGGAGAGGTATCACTGGGCCCACTCGGTAGTGCATCATCATAATGAGCTCAAGGTGACCAAGGTGTTGGCCACGGGATCATGCATTACGGTACGAGTAAAGTGACTTGCCGGTAACGAGACTGAACAAGGTATTGGGATACCGACGATCGGGTCTCGGGCAAGTAACGTACCGATTGACAAAGGGAATTGTATACGGGGTTTGATCGAATCCTCGACATCGTGGTTCATCCGATGACATCATCGAGGAGCATGTGGGAGCCAACATGGGTATCCAGATCCCGCTGTTGGTTATTGACCGGAGAGTCTCGGTCATGTCTGCATGTCTCCCGAACCCGTAGGGTCTACACACTTAAGGTTCGGTGACGCTAGGGTTATCAGGAAGACAAGTATGTGATCACTGAATGTTGTTCGGAGTCCCGGATGAGATCCCGGACATCACGAGGAGTTCCGGAATGGTCCGGAGGTAAAGTTTTATATATGGGAAGTTGTTAAACGGACACCGGAAAGTTTCCGGGTCATACCGGTATTGTACCGGGACCACCGGAGAGGTTCCGGGGGTCCACCGGGAGGGACCACCCCTCCCGGGGGGCCACTTGGGC